GGTAGAGCAAAGGGATTTCCTCTGCACTCAGGCTGCACTGTATTTTGAGATACTTGACACCCTTGCAAAAGCAGAATTAAAAGTATAATGCCTGGCCGGGCACAGTGTCACACCTGTCATCCCAGCAGTTTGGAAGGTTGAGGTGGGCGGATCATCTGAGGTCAGTAGTTGGAGACCAGTCTGGCCAGCATGGCAAAACCCCATCTCTACTAAAAATACAAAAAAATTAGCCAGACATGGTGGCACATACCTGTAATCCCAGCTACTCGGGAGGCTGAGGCAAGAGAAACACTTGAACTGGGGAGGTAGAGGTTGCAGTGAGCTGAGATTGCATTACTGCACTCCAGCCCAGGTGATGGAGTGGGACTCCATCGCAAAAAAATAGTAATAATTAAAAAAAAAAGTATAATGCCTGTAGAGGTCTTAGAGTCTGTGTCTCTTGACATCTGTTTAGGTGTCCTCTGCTGTTGCCTCTGTATTTTTGTTTCTTCCCGTGTGTTGGTTGGTTGGAGACAGTCTCGCTCTGCTGCCCAGACTACAGTGCAGTGGCATGATCTCAGCTCACTGCAGCCTCCGCCTGCCAGGCTCAAGTGAGTCTCATGCCTCAGCCTCCCGAGTAGCTGGAACTACAGGCATGCACCACCACACAGCCAATTTCTTCCTGTTTCTTTGGCTTTCACCAGCACTTTGGGTCTTGGTTTCTGTCTCTAAGCATCTGAATGTGTGCCTCGTTGTGTGTGTCTGTGTGTCCATTTCTCTAACACTTCTGCATCTGGGCTCTGGGGTACAGGGTCCTTCAGTTCCTAAACTTCAACCGTATGTGACCTATCTAGCTCCATGAGTCTGGTGAGGGGCAGGGCAGGATAAGCAGGGCCTCTGCACTGCATGACCTCAGGAGGCTCAGTGAACGGTGCTCTCACGCTTGTGCAGTGCTGGGATTCTGGCTGTAAGAGCATGTGTTTAGGAGTTGGACATTCCTAGGTTTGAATCCTGGCTCTGCCACTCCCTAGCTGGTTTTCTCCTCTGGATCCTCAGTTTCCCTCCTCACAGGACTCTCCTGAGGATCCAGTGAGATAATCTGTGCCTAAGACCTAGCACAGCACCTGGTACTAGGGATGGGCTCAGGGAAAGGAATTTCTCTCTCCCACTCCTGATCATCTTCCTCTCCCGCTCCTGATACAGATGGACAGTGGGCAGCAGAAAGAGAAAGCTGGCAGCCAAGGCATACATGCCTCTGCGGGCAAAGCGGTGGGCAGCTGAGTTGGATGGACGCTGCCCCTCGGACAGCAGTGCAGAGGGGGCTTCGGTTCCCGAGCGGCCAGACGAAGGCATTGACAGCCACACATTTGAGAGCATCAGTGAAGATGACTCATCCTTGTCCCACCTCAAGTCATCTATCACCAACTACTTTGGTGCGGCTGGGCGGTTGGCCTGTGGGGAGAAGTACCAGGTGTTGGCTCGGAGGGTCACACCTGAGGGCAAGGTTCAGTACCTGGTGGAATGGGAAGGGACCACCCCTTACTGAATAGCCCTCAGGGGGTGCCAGGGGACCTGAAAACCAAAGGAGGGGCAGCAGAAGCCATAGGCTCCCCAGCTTTCTCCAGGCTAGGGTGGGAGGAAGCAGGACAGAGCTGCAAGTGCCTGGCAGAAGGTCCTGCCCGCCTGCCTGCCCAGCCAAGGCCTGCATCTCTCTGCTGTACCAGCTCTGCTCCAGGGCCTCCTCAGGCTCACCACCCCGTGCCTGTGTCTCTACACGCTCCACACCCCCTCAGACTCTGTTTGTCTCTTCCTCCAACCTTGTGTCCCCTGCTCTGGGACCCTTCCTCCTGAGGCCCAGGTCTTTGTCCCAGTTGTGTGCCTTGACCTCTCTTGCCCCTTTTGGGTGTGTTTGCACATCTTGTGTGTGTACAGCTGGCCCTCCACTGGATACCCTTCACACCTGACTCATGGGGCAACCAGTCCTCCAGGGACTACATAACAGGTGCCTTTGCGAGAGCATAGGAGACAGATAAGAGGATGCTGCTCAGTGCTTTTCTCTTCCACTTTCCTGCTACTCCCCACTGCCCTTGGAGAGAGGTGATGGGGTGGGAGAAAGCCCCTTTGAAAGCCTGCGAGGATCTGAAGAGTAAAGGGCTGTGTCTGCCTCAGAAGGCACTAGCACCAGGGCCCAGGTATTAAGGCTGAGAGTGAAGGCTGCCAGTGTCAGCTTTGGAGGTTCCAGAAGTCGTCTGTTCCTTGCCCCCTCTCCCCTGAGTTGCCACAGAGCTGGACCAGGCCTTGTTGGAATGGAGGCATCCTTCAAAACCTGGGGGACCAGGGTGGAGGGTGGTAATGGTGGGAGGGAAACCATGTCGTGCTAAACCCAACTGTTTCTGGTGCCTCCCACCCCCACACCCAGCAGCTAATACACACCCACTCCCACCCACGTGTGTTGTACTTTCTGCCCTAGGCACACACAGCCACACCACCACATGCCCCAGTGTACACACAGCCACACAGTCCCTCTGGGCCTGCTGGCTCCACCCTTGGCTTTTCCATGGCCCTCTATATGGAATGTGAAAGCTCAGCTCCTGCTCCTTTTAGCCCGTCAACCAGCTTTGGTCCCATAGGGAAGCATAGGGGAATCACCTTCTTTCATATCCCTTGCCCTTCCCTGAAATGGACAATCACTTTTTGGGATAGGTTGCGATTTTTAAAGGGCCTGCGTCATTCCAGTTCCCTCAAAGAGAAGCCCTTGCCAGTGGGGGTTTGAAAGAGAATTTTTGGAACCAGCATTCAAATTCTGCCTCATCTGGAGGGAAACCAAAATTGGGAGGGGGAAGAGGACCCCTCATGTTTTGCTGCTTCCAGAGATATTAGAAACTGACTCACTTGATTGGAAAATTGACAAAAGTGCCTTGAGGTGGAGGGTGGGCACCAGATGGGGACCAGCCTTGCCAACTGCTGTTGTGGCCTCCAGCTTGGCTGGTTTTGCGGGCCACCAGCAGGAAGGTGAAGGTGATAGTACAGCAAGAGGCACTGGCAGGGCAGCAGGCCTGCAGGAGCTGTTCTCCATTACTAGGCCTGCCCCCTCTACCTGTGAGCATTCAGAGGGTCCCTGAGATGGTTTAGATGCCCCCCATCTTAGACCTCAGCTCCCACAGTGCCTTTTAAGAGGGACCTCACCTCCTACACAGCCCACCCACTTTACTCTGCTTCCCTGGCACAGCCCAGGCATAGATGAGCTGGCATTGGACCCAGTTCTTCCCCCTTCTCAGCCCCACAGCTGCTGCCACAGGGGCCAACTGGGGCCAGGTGGAAGGGGAGCTAAGAAGCCAGCCCCTAGCCCAGTGGTGCTGCGGGACCTGGGAGCCAATCTGTAGCTTCCTGCCTGGCTTCAGAGAGCCTAGCAACCTCCTAGGCCTGCTTTGCAGATTTCTGAGACAGCCTGGGATTAGAATCCTGTTACAGTACATCTGGACCTTCCCTACCTGGGCTCCAGAGAGGCTCTAGGCTTGAAGAGGGAAAAGCAGGGAGCGGGTGTCTTCACCACCTGAGAGGACAGCACAAGTCCTAATGAGGTAACCCTGACTCCCCACCCCAGCATTTCATTCATACCAGATAATAGCTGCATTACTGCCAACTGACTTTATAACCCTCTGCACCTTCATGGTTTTTAATTGCTGCTTTTAATAACATTTGTTAAAGTTATAATTAGTGTTGTCTGATTTATGATTTAAAAGCTCCCTTTGAACAATCACCTGCCTTCCCTGTAGTGAATTAGCTACTGGGTGGCAGAAGGAGTTGGCTCTGTCTTTTGCTGTTGGTTTACTGGAGGTTAAGGAGTAATGGCAGGACCCTGTCCTCTGGCCACCCTGCCACTCCTAGCACTGCCAGCAATTTTCTCACCCTTACTGCCAGAGAGAATATGGAATCTTTTGTGAGTACCCAACCTATGGGGGCAAAAAACATTAGTTGAGGGCCACTGACAGGTAAAAGATGAGAAATGAACTTAGAAATTTACCCTATTATAATACTTAGGTCCGGGTATAACAAAACTATCAGTACATCGTCACACAACTCCAGAAATATGAAATGAGTTCTAACCTGTGCCACTTTAGTCAGATTCCTTTCCTTCAGTTTTTTTCACCCTTCAAATGCCATTAATAATCCCAGCACACCTGCTCCCCAGGTGTTGGGAGAGACTTTGCTGTGTGTGTCACTGATTATTACTTTAAAATAAACCTCTAAATTAAGGGTGGTTTGGAGAAAAAAAAAAAAAAACAGGAGATGTGAAGGGATAGGAAAAAGGTCATCTAATACGGAGGTAAAGGCCATGGATTCCATTGAATTCTACAGTTGCAGGGGTAAAATGTAGCCTGTAATCCTGAGTGAAGGGCTTAGTGGTATTAATAATATCTTCCCTTAAACATCTTCATTCACTGTGGCTCCTACTTCTTTCTGCCACTCCTTTAGCTTCAACCTTTTATCTGTCCTCAGAATAAAACTCCAGTGGGAGTTGGCGGGGGGGTGTGGTGGCTATTCTCTGGGCTGAAATGAATGGAATGAAAAGTGTATGACATCAGGTGTCAAAAGACCTGGGTTCTAATGCAAGGTCTACAGTAAGCAGCTATATGGACCCTCCTAAGATCAGTGGGCCTCCCAGGCTAGAGAGTGCCTGCTTCTCTGTAGTCTAGTGTTTCCAAATTCACAACATTTATCTTTGGAATTTAGGGACAAGGAAGTAGAATTCTCAGAAATCCCCCAGAAATTGTAAGTTATTCTTAAAATACTTCATTCTTTATACTCTTCCTCATTATTATAGGTATCTAGAAAAACTTTATTTTCTAAGTAGACATATTAAGCTTATTAGTACTTACAAAGAACTGTGGTTTATAGAGAATATTTAAAAGGAAGATGCCAGGGAACGTATATTGGATAGCATTCAAATAAATATAACATTTGAATATCCTAGAGCAAGGTAAACAGTATGGAGAATCAATCGTGTCCAGACCGTTAACTTATTTTGCTTCCAAAGTTTATTTCTTGGAACACCATTCATAAGATTTGTATCAAGTATGCTAGGTTGTTTATCAAATCATTTTATTTGCTCATTCACAAGAACTCACCATTCGCAGCCAATAGGGCCAGACATACACACTTAGTGACATCACAGCAACCAAAAGTAAGGCTAATTAGATGGCGATCATTTCTCTCAGCTATGCTCCTGTCTCTGTTATTGTAGCCTTCAACTCAGTATGTTATATTTGATGAAGCTGGATTCTTTCAAACCAGTAATGTCTCTATAATGGTGTTAGTTTTCACAGAATAATTATAATACTTCTCATTTCCTCAACTGATTTTTCTAGGGATTAAGAATTCAAAAAACATACATTTCCTAAGAAATACTGGGAGGGAATTCCCACATGGAAACACTGGTCTGGGTCCTAGCCCCAGCCTCTGCAGCATCATTCTGGGATGACAATACGTAATAGTGGCCAAACCACGTAAGTTGGAGTTAAGGCAGACTGTAGAGATCAGTGAACTCCTGAAGATCTGTGGTGAGTAGTAAACAATACATTTTTAAGTGCCAGACCAAACTACTGCACAAATGTTTTAAGAACTAATAATTCTACTGTTGGCTGCGGCAGCTTCTCTGGATCTATGGCCTACAAAGAACTTAATGAACCTCAGAAAAAGTAAGAGCATTAGGTTTAGAATCAGAGTTGGGTTCACATCCTAGCTCTGCCACATACTTTACGTGTTTCATGCTCTCTGATCTCAGGTTTCACCTGTAAAATGAGGATAACAATGCATTATAAGGATTAATGTTAAGGAACTGAGGACAATGCCTGGCAGAAATGGCCCTTTCCCCTCCCGTTTCCTACAATAGTCAACTTGACACCAGGGAAGAGGAAGGCCACCAGGAGTTTTCTGATAACAGAAAACCACCCAATGAAGGCCACAGACAGAAAAATCTCCTTTGGAATTAGTCTCACTTTAAGAATATTCAAGGGAAAAAGTTGAATTTGCTAATTCCATAAATCAAAAGTGACTATGAACTGTAGAGAGAGCTTTAGTTAATTAAATACTTAAGACATCAATTTGCCAAACAGGTACAAGAGATTAAATAGATTCAGACATGCCCCTATCCTCAAGCAGCTTACAACCTAGGAATATAAAGCCGACTGTGATGCACAAAGATGACAGGAATACAACGACAGAAGAGATTCCTCCCAATCACGGAAGCCAGGCCATACAAAGGAGCAGCAATATTTCACAAGCATTCATGCAGAAGGGCATTCCGGGCAGAGGGGACAGCAGAAACAGGAATAACATCACACAGTATAGTGGAGCCATCCATTTCCCAAAGTGGGAGAGGAGATGCAGGGGATGATGACTGAAAAGGTGAGCTGAAGCAAGGTTATAAAAACCAGACCTAGAAATTGGACTTTCTCCTGGAAGCAATAGAGGCAGTATGTCTTGGGTCCCCAGTACATTTAGGTTCTACTTTACACAAATTTGCATATATATCAGAACATGATCTGTTGTAAAAAGCAAGGGACATCACCATTATCATTCTCTTTGTTCTTCTGAGGCAGTCCCTCGAAATCTCCATTAGAACCCTCTGGAACTTTCCAAGGGCCTCAGCCTAAAGTCCCTACAAGATCTTTGCAAAGGACTCTTAGAGATCCTCTTCCATTTGATATTTGGGAGCACAAAGATCCAAGAAGTACAGTAATTGTCAGAACTACAGCCTGGCATTAGCCCTCCTGCACACCCTCCCCTCAAGGAGAGGCCCAAGATATAACAGCTATCTGTAGACCCCCACCCAAACTGCCCATAGTCTCCACAGAATGGAGTTACCTCATGACAGATTCAGAGGGGTTTCTGGGGCAAATTTCCCTTCTTCTTAGTCCATGGGGCTCAGCAGGCCACTGCCTTCCCTGCCCTCTTCCACCACAAACCCATGGAGCAGGTACAAGAGAGCATGAAACAGAGGATGAGCAGCCCAGGTTGCACCACCCTCTTTCTGGGCCTCCATGCAGTTCAGTTTCCTGCAGTAATCTATAAAAGGAAAACTGGCTCAGAGGGGTGGTTTACAAATCTTTAACAAAGCTTTTTAAAAAATCCCCATGCAGGGAGCCTCCAAGGTACCTTTTGTCAACTTCGGGGGCTCTGTGAAGCAAACCTGAAAGACACGGGTCTGATTCCTGGGGCTGCTTCTGTGTGCAAGGGAAAAGGTTAGTTTGGTGGGCTCAGAATCTACATCTTCACTGACAAGGCACCAGAATGACCTGATGTCTGTGATTCAGGCTAGGGAAGAAGCAAGACTTACTCCCAACCCATGAGGCTGTGCCAAAGTCCTAATATTCCCTGAATTTATACACAAGCTCGTGGAGCCCATTCCTAGTCCCACATCGTCAGAATTCAGAAGCAACAAAAGCCTCTTTAGCAAGGAGAAATAATCCTGCTGATCCATGAAATGGCACCATTAGTAATTTATCTTTTTGATAAAGCACTTGCCAGTCCCCCTAGGAGGAGGCATTCATCCCACACTCTTCCAGGTGAACAAGGTCACTGAGGCCACTCCTCCCCATGAGAAGCAGCAGAGCAATTACATCCTAGGCACTTCAGGTAGGCCTAGTGACTCAAGAATATGACAAGTCTCACCCTCACTGCCTCTTGCCCTCAGTCTCCACACAACCATCCTCGAGCCCTCGTATCCCCGATCCCCGTTAACCATGAAGCACTCAGAGACAAGTTATACTGGGTTCTTGCTTGGCCTGACTGGCCCAGCCTTTTCTTCCAGCTTCAGGAACCTGAGACCTTCAGCCTCCACAGGCAATTTAGCTCCTCTGCGCTGACAGGAACATGGAATCCAGAGATGCTGGGAAGTAGAAGGAGGCCCCCTCTTCCCCAGAGTGCAGCTGATGAAGGCTGGAGGCAGCCAGCGGCATGCACAAAAAGCTTCACTCACTCAGTCCTCTTCCATGCCTTCCTCAAGCCACTTTAAATAGTACACATGTCCTTGATCCACAGGGAGACTAAAGACCTCTGAGATTTCAAAGGGATGTATAGCCTTTGGAGCGAAAGTAAAGCTCTGTGAGTGACTATGATTAGAATCAACTCACATGATAAAACCCAACTGGCCAGGCTCACTGGAGGCCCTCTGCAACCTGCTGCAGCCCACCTATCCAGGCCCATGGCCTGTCAGTCTCCAGCTTATGTTCCCATCTGTCAACAAGTGATCAGTTAGGCCAGATAGCTTTAGAGTCTCACAGACATGGGCTCACATTCTAAGGTTGCCCCTACTAACTGTCTGACTATGGACAAGTCACTTCGTTTCCTTTAAAGGCTCCTGTAAAACAGCAAATAAGAAAAAGGCCCTACATGACTGGACTGCTGGGAATTTACTAACACAAGGTACATAAGCACGTACCCAGCATACCAGGTGGCACTGCATGCCTTCATTAAATGCCAACTACTCTTTTTATTGTGCCATGCATATCGCTTCCCAAAACAAACCCCCCTCCCCCAATATCTCTGTATTTGCTTGCCCACCTAGAAGATTCCACCTACTCCTGCTATCAGTCAAAAGCCTCTCTATTCTTGCTTCCAAAAAAAAGAAAAGCCTCTCTATCCCTCAAGGCGCAATTTAACCACTGACCTTTTCCAAGGGATCTTTCCTGACCACCCAGGTCAGGTCTACAGGAATCTCTCCTTCTCTCCTGTTTCTTTTGCCTGGCCCTTGTCACACAGTGCAAGTTCTCTTCACTTTCCAGACTGAAGAAACATGAGGACTTGGGCCTCAGTGTCCCATCTGTCAAATGGGGATTATAATCCTCTGCCTCCTTTCTGCTGAATGAGGTATTTTAAAGTTCCCATAACATGCTTAATAAATCACAGTTCATCATTGGATGGACAGCGTTGTCAGAAGCAAGAGGGGCACAATAGTGGCCCCTCTGGAGCATCCCGTAGCTTTTTGAGCCTCCTGGCGCCACACCTAAGCCATTTCACCATACCTGACAATGTCTCTGGCAATTTTCTCATAGGAACAGTTGACAAAGATGATGCAGTGAGTGCCAAAGACATAGCTGCAGGTCACAGGTGAGTGGCGCTGCACAATAAGGGCCTTGAACATGAGCATGGGGTGTGTCAGAAAAGAAGTTGCCAGGATCTACATGAGGGAAAAATAAAAGCACAGATCAGTGACATCACCAATTCAATGCCTCCCAGCTCAAGCAGATTGGAAACAAGCTGGGGTCATTTTTTAAATCCCTATCCCCTTCCACAAATTAATTCCTGAGATCTGCATTGAGCTTTAGTGTTTAGACCATTTTCATATGTAGATTTTTTTCCCCTGCATTTCACAGATGAAGAAAAAATAGAGGCCCAGAAATCAAGATACTTGCTCAACATCACATAGCTTTAATTGGTGAAGCCAGTATAAGGACAAGTCTGGATGTCTTGGAATCCATTTTTACTGCACAAAACTGCTACTAGAGGTAATATCAACTGGCATCCACTGACCTGCCATCATCCTGTGGAGATTATTATGAATGATAAACTATTACACCTACTGATGTTTTAGGAAGTAATTTTACCTGCATTCATTTGTACATGTACCAGGTACTATGTGCAGTACTGAAGAAAATGCAGCCTTGTAAACAAACTTAAAACCCTAGTTTTAAGTAATCTAAAATCCCCTGAAATTGAATGCAACTTTCAGTTTATCTATACATTTTCCTCAGATGCAAATCCACAACTTCCACAAAACTACTCAGGGAAACCTACGATCCCAAAAAAGTTAAGGTCCACTGGTTTGTGCCAATTTTTACAGATGAGGAAATAAAAGCCAAAGAAAGGAAGAAATCACCCAAAAGGTGGGCAGCAAAGCTGAGCTAGAACCCTGGGCTTCTGACCCTCGCCTACAGTTCTTTCTGCCTCCCTCCACCACCTGGAGTTACTCTGTAGTCACTTCCAACCTTAACGCTTCGAGATATTTCGAAGATGAGAAAACAAAGCCCCCAGAAAATTACAGAAAAATGAGATGGTAACTACAATAGACCTATTATGTGATGCCTGGATGAGGATTCACCAGCAGATACTTCTTCCCCTCCTCCATCTAGCAAGACACAGCCCAGTCACTCCTCCCCAAGATGCCGGGAGTGACGGTTTCCCAGTAAACCTAGAAAAACACTCCACAATCTGCAGGACACCAAGTGGTGCCTCCAGAAACGAAACTGTTCACTGCCCTTACCTGGCTGCCTCCAGCACAAATCCCCAGGAGACTTAAAGAGAAATTTGTCTGCCTTCTCCCTTCCTTCCCCTCCCCTCAGTCCTGAGGCTGGGAGTTTAGGGATGAAGAAGTTTGTAGTGTGCTGGCATAGGGCACTCACCAGGAGGCACATGAAGACAGAGAGCCATGGGCAGCTTGGCAGAGGACACCATGAGCCCAGCCTGTCTACAGCATCACAGGTAACCATGGCAGTGAATAGCTGTACCATGGCAGTGAATCGCAGCCATGGGCAGAGGTGCTAGTGGGTGGGCACTGAGGGCCTAAACTGACCTCTCACCCACCACCTGCCCTAGCTTCTCCCTGGCCCAGTCTGCCAAGCTTGCCAGAAGGAGACCAGAAGAGAGACAGTGGAGGGAGCAGCAAAGAGAGGGAGGAATTTCCACTGGACACCCTTCACCCTTGAAACAACACAAGCACCATACCAAACCTACGACACCTGCAAAACTACGCTATTTCGCTTTCCATTCAAACAATTTTAAAAAACCATAAAATCCCCAAAGATGTCCAAATACAAAGACATGAACTCTTAGAACACAAAACCTTCAGAATCTACAGCACACAAACACTGACACACATACACAAAATCCTTCCACTTTTAGAGAGGCCCAACCCAACAACAACAACAAGAGAAGCATGCACATGGCTGCCTCTCTGGCCCCTTCCTCCTAGAATCTCCATTCTAATTCTCCCTGGCTTAGAACACTCTTGTTCCCTACCTGTCTCCTTAGTGAACTCTTTCCTGGCCATCCCAAAGATTCTCCCACAGTCCTAGGCCCGTAAGGCACTTTGCACACATTTTTTTGGAGATGGAGTCTTACTCTGTCACCCAGGCTGGAGTGCAGGGGCACAATCTCAGCTCACTGCAACCTCTGCCTCCCCGGTTCAAGTAATTCTCCTACCCCAGCCTTCCAAGTAGCTGGGACTACAGGCGCGCACTACCACACCTGGCTAATTTCTGTATTTTTAATAGAGATGGGATTTCACCATATTGGCCAGGCTGGTCTCAAACTCCTAACCTTGTCATCCACCCACCTCCCAAAGGGCTGGGATTACAGGTGCGAGCCACCACACCTGGCCTGCACACACTTTTTTTAATCCAGCTTTTTAATGTGAAGCATCCTCATTTTAAAAATGATGACAATTCTGGGGATGGGGATAGAGAGCAGAGAAGTATAAGTGAACTGTTTAAGAGAATTGTTCTGTTTTGGTTGTGGCAGGAGTAAGACCAAGTCTTTTAAAAATTCAATAAGCGGTACATTTAAGTTGGCAAATTTTATCGTATGTAAGTAGTACCTAAAACAGAGAGGGCAAAATGGTGGAAGCCATTTCAAAATTGTTTTCAACTAGACAGACTAAACAAAACATATTTGTTAATCAAATCTGGCTTGCAGATTGCCAGCTGACAGTCCCTGCATTTATTGTAATTACCTGTTCACCTATCTGTTTCATTCCCTGGGATTATAAATTCTTAAAGGCCTAACACACTTCTCAGCAAAGTATCTGACAAAATACCATAGTTAATCAGTTGTAGACCTATTCCTTTCATTTATATTGTTAGTTGTGCAGACTCAAGGAAGTTACTTAATTTCTGTGTACTTTCAGGGGAGATTTTTCTCAAAAAGGGAAGGTCTAATATCCCCTTCATAGGTCTGAAGTGAGAATTAACAGAGATTAATGTTAAGAGTGCTTATAAAATATGGCCAGGCGCGGTGGCTCACACCTATAATCCCAGCACTTTGGGAGGGTGAGGTGGGCAGATCACTTGAGGTCAGGAGTTCAAGACCAGCCTAGCCAACATGGTGAAACCCCATCGCTACTAAAAAGACAAAAATTAGCCAGGTGTGGTGGCACATGCCTGTAATCCCAGCTATTCAAGAGGCTGAGATAGAAGAATCGCTTGAACTCAGGAGGCGGAGGTTGCAGTAAGCTGAGATCATACCATTGCCCTCCAGCCAGGGCAACACAGCAAGACTCCACCTAAAAAAAAAAAAAAAAAAAAAAAAAAGAGTGCTTATAAAATGTAAGTCTATGTCATTTAAGAGCAAGTAGCCTCTTGTCAACTACCAAAGTAAACTCAGAAAACTGCCATTTGTGATTGAGGAACTTACTATCTATAGAAGAAATGTGGTTAGAGAAAATGAGACTGAGTGGTCCTAAGAAAAACCTTTATATTTTAAGTCACTAAAATCAAGACCATGATCTTTTATACCTATTATATTAAAAAGAATAGAACTGATAATGACCATTTACCTCAGATTCTGAGATGATTTCCTGAGCCATTGTCCCCAAGTTTAGCTCAGAGCCCTGCAGAGTTTAAGCTCAATGTTTGTTAAATGACTAAATGATACAGATGTGTTGCTGGTGATGAAAAAAGGACGATGGTAGTGATGGAAATGACGTAGGGGTAACAAGGGAAGGATGGCCTCTGGAACCTCTTTGTCCTTCAATTCAGGGACTTATACTCTCTCCAGATTCACGTCCAAGGTTACATTGCAAAGGTTCAATTTCACATTAATGGCTTGGACAGTTTCTTCAGACATATCATGACTCTGAGTGCCATGCTGGAGGGTCCAGGCGTTTCTTCTGGCAGCTTCTTATCCTCCATCTTCTTCTGCTCCTTATTGGATCCCGATTCAGAGTCAGATTTCCCCTCAGACTCAGATTCTGTATCCATCACCTTCACCCAAATGACATCCTTTTCATCATGACTTCCTTCTCTTTCTTCAAGTCTTTTGCTTTATTTTGAAGGTTCTTTTACATCTCTTTATAAGTATAAGCAATTTATTGAAATCTCTTTTAAAAGTCAAGCTTCGATTGAGGAAAGGATCCATATCAATTATAGCATCAGTGAGGTGTGCGGTCTGGCATCAGACAGCATTAAATTTCCTCTGTCTGCAAACATTTTTTCCTATGGACATAGACTCTCAGTTATTACCAAACAATGAAACTTGAGTAGCTCATTAATTTTACTTTCCCTGATATCACTGAATCTTAAACTCATCTGTTTTGCAGACACTAAGATTTTTTTTAACTTCATTAGCTCTAGGGAAACATGCATAATCATTCACACATCCTCCTGAACTTTCCAGCAAGCTTACGAGTGGCTGGTTTTCTATCACCCATCACCTCTTTTATCACTACTAAAGCATCAGCAATATTGTCCTGTTGTCATGTTTCTTTCAGAGTAAGGTGAGGGTTTTTTTAAATACAGGCAGCAAAGCAGTCAAACATATGCTTGGTGTAATACCTCCCAAATGCTTCAGATATACCCTGACCCAAGGGTTGAAGAAAGCTAGGGGTTCCCTGAGGGACAAACACAATATCGACATTAGAAAGAACAAAGAATAATGAGGCTGGGTGAGTGGGACCTCTGTCCACAACTAGCAACATTCTGATTTCCAGATTTGATTTCTGTTAAATGACTTCGGACTTGAACAATAACGAAACCAATCCAAAAAGTGGCAGTGGTGATTCTGGGTGTGATCACAAGAAAACAGAAAGGTGTTTATCTGTTTCTAAAAGACAAGTTGGGGATTAGAGCCTTTGTAAAGCAGCAGTGGTTTACCATTGTCACCTGAGGCACTGCCACAAAAAATGAGGGAAATCCTTTCCTTAGCTTCCTCTAAGCTTTCCAGATTTTTGGTTTTTTGCCCCAAAAGTAGGAAGGCATGCACTTCGAAAGATGGGTCATCTCTTTGGCATTGAAAACCTGTTGAGGCACACAACCTCTCTCCAGTTGCTTGGAATACTCAGTGCCCATTCAGCATGTAAGGGTCCTTCCTCCCCCATCAACTTCATATGTTGCAAAACAGCAGTGATTTTTAAAGTTCTCAAACCATCCCTTGCTCGCAAGATACTTATTTGGGTTGTCCTCCCCAGATGTTTCCCACTGGTTCCCTGTAGATGTGTTAGGCCTGGTTGCAGAATGCCTTCCGGGTCAGATGTCGCCCTCTATCATCTGGCCCTCCACCTAAAAGGTTAACTGGGTCTCCATCTTCACGATGTTTACATTACAGGGAATACACAGCAGCTTGGAGCAGATGGGCGACCAACTCTCCACGTTGGTCTTTCTTGGTTTTCTGGGGGAGGTGGGTAGCAGGGTCTTGCTCTGTCGCCCAGGCTGGAGTGCAAGTGACACAATCATACTCACTGCAGCCTTGACCTCCCAGGCTCAAGCGAGCCTCCCGCTTCAGCCTCCCGAGGAGCTGGAACTACAGGTGCGTGCCACCACACCACACTTAGTATTTTTATTTTTCCTTTTTTTTTTTTTTTTTTTGGTAGAGACGGGGTTCTATGTTGCCCAGGCTGGTCTCAAACTCCTGGGCTCAAGAGAGCCTCCCGCCGCAGCCTCCCAAAGCGCTGGGATAACAGGCACAGCCACCGCGCCCAGCTGCTTCTCCTTGGTGGACTGATCAACACCGATAAGGCAGCGCGCGTCCCTATGACTCACGCCTTCGTCGGACTCCTGGAGAATATTCATCCCGCGTTCCAGAGGCACGACGCTCCGCCTCCTCTTGACAGGTGTCTGGCCCACCATCAAGATTCCCCTCCAGGCCTCCGCTCTGCTTGGGGCGGCCTCCGCAGTGGCCTCCATAACGACCGCGATCGCCCTCGCCTAGAGCCTGGTTTTGGAGCCGCGAGGCCGCCGACGAGGCCGTTTACCTTCCGCTGAGTCCCCATGCTCGCCGCTGCGCTGGCCGGAACAGGGTTTCGCCCTCTGCGTAAACACGTAAACCGACTGGAAAACCGGCGTCCGCAATCCACTAAGCAGCACCCCAGATGACGCCAGACTGAGGAAGCCGCCGCCACTGGCTGCACTTGACAACGCCCACTTCTCGCGAGGCTTGGCAGCCCTGTAGCAATCTCAGGGAAGGGGATGCTGGGAGCAGCAGATCTCGCGAGGCTCAGGGAAGCGTCCCGGGAACTAGGCTGTCGGGCCAGCCCCTGCGTTGGGGGGCAAGATGGCGGCGCAGGCTTTGACGCTGCTGAGGGAGGTGGCCAGGCTGGAAGCGCCGCTCGAGGAGCTGCGCGCGCTTCACTCCGTGCTGCAGGCCGTGCCGCTCAATGAGCTTCGCGAACAAGCGGCGGAGCTGCGCCTCGGCCCGCTTTTCTCTCTGCTCAACGAGAACCATAGGTGAGAGGACCCCGGGGGCTTGCGCCCAGGAGAGAGGCACCCCTAAATACGGACACGCAAGTGGTTGGAGGCAAGAACAGCGTTTTTCCCAGTCACAGGGAAGGTGGAAACTAGCCGAAATTTGCAGAGAAGGAAGGATCCTGGGTTCAGAGGCGAGAGACGGGATTCATGTTCAGCCTGAGAGTGCCCAGGGTCGGTTTTCTCCCGTTTTCTTGAAACAGGAATTAAAGGAGGAAAGCAAAGTTGTCCACTTAAAAGGAAGCATTCCACATGCTTTTGTTCAGGTTCTTGATTTGTTTCCTTTTCCAAAAGGATCCTATCCTGGCAATGTGGCAAGAACCATCAGCATTTTAAATTCACATGCCTTTTCATCCAGTCATTCTTGTTACGAAAATTTAATATAGGTATACGCGCACAAAATGTGTAGTTATTTTGTCCTTTCGAATCCGAGGCTGAAACTGCTCCAAAAGCAGCGGCAGGGGAGTTCCCACAAAGGAGTGCTTCAGGCCTTCCTGAGATGTGGCTGGTTGAGATGCCCGAGAAAGAATCACTGAATGCCAAGGCGATCAGTCCAAAAGCGTTTAGGGGGAGCCTTACAGAGGGCTGCAGAAATTGTCGAGACGGACACTGGGAGAGTGTTTCTGGGTATGTCCGCCGTGAAGGGGGTCAGGGTCAGTTCAGATGAGAGTTTAAAGGAATTTGGCTTAGGGTTGAGGTCAGTCTCTTTAAGTGTTTTGGGCAACAACCTAGATACCGTTATCAGGCCTGGGAATGTTCAAGGCCCAAGTTTATGGTCAAGCGTGTTAGGGAAACCTGCCGCTGGCTAGGTCAGAGAGCAATCAAGGCACTCTGATTTTCATCAGGACACCGAAAGAATATTTATAACATACCATATGTGACACCAAAACACTAGAAACAATCTAAATATCCGTTAACAGGGGATTCCAAATTATGCACTATTACTCTGTAACACTATGCAGTTATTTAAGATACTGAGATAGATGTATGTATACGTATGTGGACATGAAAAGACCTCGGTGTTGTTGAATGAAAAATAAAATTGCAGGATTTATGAATCTAATTTTAATCTGTAATTTTTAAAAATTATTGCAATCCTCCCAACCCCCACAGGCTTCTATAACTTGTATATAACACTGGAAATATCTTCAAAGGTACACCAGAAACTATTGATAAGGAAATGGGGCTGAAAATAGTAGGACGACTTTTACTTTTGATATTTTACACATCAGTAGTGTTTGATTAAAAAACACTTTGTAGCCGGGCGCGATGGCTCACGCCTGTAATCCCAGCATTTTGGGAGACCGAGGCAGGTGGATCACCTGAGGTCGGAAAACCAGCCTGACCAACACGGAGAAACCCCGTCTCTACTAAAAATACAAAATTAGCTGGGTGTGGTGGTACAGGCCTGTAATCCCAGCTACTAGGGAGGCTGCAGCAGGAGAATCGCTTGAACCCAGGAGGTAGAGGTTGGGGTGAGCCGAGATCGTGCCATTGCACTCCAGCCTGGGCAACAAGAGTGAAACTCCGCTTCAAAAAAAATAAAAAACTTTGTAGACCTGGAGCAGTGGCTCACGCGTGTAATCCTAACACTTAGGGAGGCTGAGGCTGAGCTTCAGCTCAGGAGTTCAAGACCAGCTTAAGCAACATAGTGAAAACCCGTCTCTACAAAACAAAACAAAAAATTAATTGGGCGTTGCCTGTAGTCTCGCTACTTTGAGGGCTGAGGCGGGATGGAGGGAGGATTGCTTGAGACCGAGAGGTGGAGGTTGCAGTGAGCAGAGATTGCCCACTGCACTCCAGCCTGGGGGACAGAGTGAGACCCTGCCTGTCTTTTTTTTTTTCCGAGATGGAGTCGCGCTCTGTCGCCCAGGCTGGAGTACAGTGGCTGGACCTAAGCTCACCGCAACCTCTGCCTCCCAGGTTAAAGTGATTCTCCTGCCTCACTCAGCTTCCCAAGTAGCTGGGACTATAGTAGCTGGAGCACCACCACACCTGGCTAATTTTTTGTATTTTTAGTAGAGACAGGGTTTTACCATGTTGGCCAAGGCTGGTTTTGAACTCCTGACCTCAAGTGATCCGCCTGCCTTGGCCTCCCAAAGTGCTGGGATTACAGGCATGAGCTACTGTGCCCAGCAGAGACTGTCTTTTTAAAAAAAAAAGAAAAAAAAGAAAGAAAGAAACATTTTATAATTCCATCTTACCTGGATTCTGGGTGAAAAAAAGGAGAAAAACCCCACTTCGTATTTGATAATTTGATCATTTAAAAGAGTTTTGAAATGTTTGTGATCCAAAGACCTTACTACTTGAAAAGTGACCTTACTACTTGAAAAGATTATGAACCACTGAGTCAACACTGGCTGTCAGAGGGCTTTCTTGGCTATGACCTTCTAAGATTCCTTCCTTTTTTGTAAGTGTTCTCCAATCATGAAGTCTATCAGTTAACATTTTTCAAGTCTGCCTATGAAATATCTTATTTGTCCCCTCTTTAATCCAACCCCTCATTTTTTCCCTCTTGCTAGGTCTGTAGTATTAATCTGACTTCTTATTACCTCTGAAATTCCTTTTCTAGCAAGACCTTCCCACCCTGTAACCCTAGTGAGCATACACCTCAGGTCAGTTGGTGCTTATCTTTTCCATGGTTTCTCATAGCCTATAGTGAGTTTTTAGAGTGCCATTTGGGCCCTTTACAGTATATTTCCATCCTACTTTTCCCACCTCACCTTTTTCCTCCACTCCACTTCTTTCCATCTTCTCCAGCTACCATGTGGCACCCTTATTTTTCCTTAAGTTTGACTTGCAGTTTCCTAACTTTACTCATACCACCCTTCTAACTGAAATACTTTGCTGTCTATCCTGTCCATCCTTTTAGGCCCACTAAAGAGCCAACCCCTCCAAAATATTTTTCTCAGTTATTCCAGTTGCAAGTGACTGCTCCTCAGATCTGCTAAAGGACATTACCATTATTTCTGTAAATGATACTTGACACTGTTACCTATGTTATAGTTCTCTGTGTGTCCATTTCTAGTTTGTAAATTCTTTGAAGGCAGTGACTGCATTTTTTTCATCTCTCCATCCCTCTTAGGGCAATGCAGTATATACACAATGAAAGATAAGACTCACGGAGTTCAGAATGACCACCTAGTCCAACCTCTTCATTTTAGAGATGAAGAGACTTTCAAAGGTCATACCACAAGTTGATAACAGAGAAGCAGTAGGCACTGAAGTGAGGGAGAGTTTGAGGATTAAGGTCCATGGGAAGATAGTTTGCTAAATGAAGGAGCAGTGCTTTAGGGAACAATTTAATGGAAATTTAAAGACAGAGTAATTTAGAACTGGATACATAGTAGATACCAATTGCAATTTTAATTCTCTGGATAGTATCTGGCAGTCTCCACATACATTGCTGTTATCCTGACTAAACCACATAGGTTGCTATGCATTGGTTCACAATCTGATCTTGTAGATGTAAATTAAAATCTTGACAGTTTTTTTTGAGAGAGAGTTTAAGTCCTAAGATTACTGCTTTAGAATATGAAAATCAAACAAGACTAATTTGAAGCATTAACTCTTTGGCTTGTTGGCATAGAAGGGTCACATAGGACCTAAAATTTGTGCACTGTATAGTTTAATATACCATTACTTTTTTTTTTAACAGCTTTTTAAAGGTATAATTTATATACAAGGAACTGCACTTAATAAAATTTACAAGTTGGCAAATTTTGACATACATATACACCCGTGAAGCCATCTCCACAATCAAGATAGCAAATGTATCTTTCACTCCCAGAAGCTCCCTCACACCCCTTGCTAATCTCTCCCTGTTTCAGCTGGGCAACCACTGATCTGCTTTCTATCACTATAGATGAACTTGCCCCTTATTTTGGCCAAACATGGGAGGAAGGGATCATATAAATTGAGTCACACATTATGTATTCTTTTGTTTTGTTTCCTTCACACAGCATAGTTATTTTGAGATTTATCTGTGTGGCATGAATAAATAGTTCTTTTCTTTTTATTGTTGAGTAGTAGTTCATTGTATGAATGTACTACAATTTGTTTATCCATTCCCCTGTTGGTG